GATGATGTGTGTATACATCTGCGCCACTGACATCGGTTCTGAGCCATGCCATCACCTGGAGTCAGTCTCCAACCACTGGTTCCTCTTGTCCCACGGACCCCAACCGCCTAGTCTGCATCGCCCCACATGGCTCAAACCAATAGTCAGAGACGTCATACACTGGTGCCATGTTTTGGACTGGCCACCTCGGGCCTTTTTCCAGCCTGAATCTACTTCGGTCGATATTCTGTGACGAGGCAATCGACGACTAGGCATGCTTAATACGTGTCCCAACCATCTCAGTCGATGAAGGTTCATAACCTCATCAACTGATTTACCTCTACTCCCTAAGACTCTACACCTGACGTCTGCGTTGCTCACGCGGTGACACCACAGAATACGGCCCATACTATGAAGGCAACGGTGGTCAAAAACTTGAAGCCTTCTTATATCTTCCACCTTCAATGGCCATGTTTCACAGCCATGCTGCAGAACAGATGGGACTGCTGTGCAGTACACAAGACCCTTAATAGACAATCGGGTATAACGGCGGCATCATACGTGGCATAAGTTGGCAAAAGCCAGCCAAGCCTTTTGTATCCAAGCAGAGATTTCATCGGCCACTGAGCCACCAGGGTAGGGCTGATCCTACTTCCCAGGTAAGTGAAGTGGTTGGCACACTCAACCACTACACTCCCTATTATTAGCCGTGGCACTATTGAAGACCAATCCTGAGGCAACAATTTGTATTTGGTTGATGGGAACCACATCCCAGACATTCTCAACTTGCCACTCAAAGTGTTCAGAGGACCCTGTATCTCGTCAGCGTCTTCACTTAACAGAACTATGTCATCTGGATACTCTAGGTCTAACGAAAATTCCCCTGCTTTTAGGTCAACCTCTGTGTAACCTGGCGACGACAGGGAGACCTCCATAATCGTATCTATGATAAAATTGAATAAGAATAGAGAGAGTGGGTAGCTTTGATGGATACCACTCGATAAGGACAGCTCTCCGGACACCTCACCATAGGCCCTAACATGCCCACAAGTGTTCGAGCAGAGAGCCTTCACTAAGGTGATGTACTTACTCGGCACGCCTTTCACTGAGACATTGCCATAAGACTTCTTGATCAACGGAGTCGAACGCCACCTTCAGGTCGAGAAATAAAGCTGGTGTCGGGCGTCGGTAAGCGTGTCTGTGTTCCAGGACCTGGCGCAGTGTAAATATTTGGTCGATATACCCACGGCTGGGTCCAAAGCCTGCCTGTCCGGTTTTCTCGGGCTCATTGTTTCGAGCTCCACTCAGGCGTCGGAGAATTATAGAACCTAGGATCTCGGACACTGTTCGTCAGGCTGATTCCTCTGTGGTTATCATAAGAGGACTTCTCGCCTTTCTTGAAGGCTGGGATAATAAGTGATTCAGACCAGTCAGAGGGGATAGTATTTGATTCCCATATAATAGTTAACACTTCCGTTAACCTGACTAAGAGCACTCTACCAGTATCCTTGTATACCTCAGAAGCTAGTCCGTCTGGTCCTGCCATCCTTCCTCGTTTCTCAACTTCTGCAAGTGTTGGGGGGCCTATCCCTATGTTCCATTCAGGATCCAACTAGGTAGCGGTGGTGGCTGGAAGCTAGTTAAGCTGCTCCTCAAAGTGCTCAGCCCATCGTTCCAGTCGTCTCCTTTGCGAGTGAGTCGCAGATCTGTCCTCCGTTATGATCTCACTAACCGCAGTTGACCTTTTCCTCGCAGTTCCCTTAATAAGTCTAAATAACTGTCTACTGTTACCAATCGCCGCCGCCTTTCCCATCTCTTTAGCCTTCGCTGCCCACCACTGTTCGCGGTCGTTGCATAGACTTTTTATCAGTCTACTTTTCAGTTGCGCCCGCTCTTTATTGTACTCAGAGCCTGCGGGGATGTGTTCACATGCATCCATTAGTTCGGAAGAAGCTGCTGATATCCACTGGCTCATTTTAGCCACTCTTTCGGAGTCGGCTACGGTCTTCAGCACTGCTTTTACAGCAGACTGGAGATGGTACCAAGCTTCTTCCGGATGAGTGATGGTCTTTTGTTCGGATAACTGCTTAGCCAACATCTCACTGAACACGACTTTGGTGTTTTCGTAGTGCAACAGCATTCCTAGTGGTTTTGTTCCAAACTTTATCCTACGTCAACTGACATGCAAAAATATACAAGCTCCGACCAACGCTTAGTCTCTATCCCAACACGTGCTTCACTACGAGCGTCAGTCTTCCGCCGATACCCCTCCAGCGATGACTAATAGCAATGTGGTCTGCAGTTAAAAGTGAAAGATGAGTTCTACCGGAAACAGTCTAAACTACTGAAATCCGAACGCTCAAACATAGTAGTTGTAGCAGATGATTTCAATGCATACGTAGGTAGACTGAGTCAAAAAATGCACGTAGGTAACAATTTCGGATTTGCAGCCGAACCAACAGATAACGGTGGTCGCCTACTGTAACTGTGCTCGGACAACTATTTCAGACCAGCACTAACGCCAAATATAAACAGCGACATTGTCTGACATCGTGTCTACTGAAATCAACGCATCTGTGGACACATAGACCATATTACCATCAGTTATCGCTGGAAAGGGGCGATGGAAGGTTACAATTCGTTTTGGAGTACGTGTTTGGACAGCGCTCACACGTTGGTTCGAGCACGCGTATATCTGCATCCAAATGGACGTGGCAAAATCAAGGCAACAAGACCGTTACAAGCACATCTTGACGATGAGAATACTGAAGCTGCTTTCAGCGAGAAACTAACTAGACAGCTATCGAAACACAACAAGCCTGGTACTATCCCCAATCTGTTGTAAGAACAGAGTTAAACACTGTAATTGGCTCTCAAAAAGTGGTTAAAAGTGCCGGTAGGTCTCATCAGCTTCTTCTGAATTAACGAAAGCGCACGAACGCGTTCCTTTAAGCTTCGAGCCCAATGAGGAGCGAAGGAAACTGAAATGCTGATCGACGAGGAGTCTACGCAATAACCACGAGCAGCAGCGAGTAGTGAAAACAAAAAGTATGTAAAAGGTAGCGGTGACAGGCAACAGGAGACAGATGTTTAGACTTGTCAAGGAAACTGGAGCAAAAGGGTCAATGGTTAGCGAAGTCACAGTGGATAAGGATTGGTTTGTGATTTACTCGCAGAGGAAATGACTGGAGTGATCAGAGAAACACCCTAACGGACAGGTTCAACTGACCTGCAGCTACTATTCCATAGTTTACTATCTAGCCGAATCCTGAATTGGACATTGAGATGGGGCCCCCTACACTCACAAAAGTCGAAAAAGCTATAGATAACCTGAAACAACGAAGGACAGCAAGGCTGAACAAAATAGTTCCGTAGGTATTTAAGGACGGTGATCGTGAATTACTGGTTTGGTTAGCTAAAGTGCTAGATAGCGTGGGGGAAATCAGATACGATACCCTCTGACTGGTCCCAGTCTCCAAGAAAAGGGAGAAATGCTCTTGGGATAACCACAGGAGAATCAGTCTGACGGAAATGGTGTCTAAGGTTCTACCTTCTGTAGTTATTAGGTATCTGAGTGGGACTCAGGAACAGCAAACCAGATAGGCTTCAGACCTGACCATGGTTGTATCGACTAGATCTTAACCCTCCGCTAGGTTTTAGAACACAGACCCTCTTACCGTCATTGCTTGTATTTTTCGACGTGAATGCAGCATTCGACTTCTTCGATTGAGAGGTCTTATGGCATTATGTTTTACTGAAAGAAGTGCTGGATAAGTACATCACTCTGTTAAAGGCTTTTTACATGAACACCTTTTGGCGTGTTACACCCTATGGTGAGTTATTAAGGTGAATTATCTACGTTGATTGGTGTCCATGGAGGATGTTCACTCCATTCTTATTCCACTTTGTCATAGACCTACTTATGAGGCTCACTCTCTCGTCCTCTGATTTTACAGAGACTGGTCTTATCACAAGAGAATCTTTAGTAGATCTATAGTACACAGATGACCTAGTCCTGTTAAGTGAAGACGCTGACAAAATGTATAGTTTCTTCGACTCTGAGTGGTGGTTTGAGAATCTTTGGGATAAGTTTCTCACCACCCAAATGTAAATTGTTGCTCCCGAAACGGTCTTTGCTGTTGTCGTATTTAAAGGCAACTGGTGAAGTGGTTAAGTCAGATAACCACTTTATTTACTTGGGAAGTTGGTCAACACTAGTGAGTTTGACCGACTCAGTCACTCCGCTGATACAAAAGGCTCGCTTGGCTCTCATCAAATAACACCATTCGTGGCGTCCCCGTGATATATGATTACTTACTTAGAGTCGAGTGCACCTCACTGTGTGATTGTAAAACAATAAAGTTAAAAGACTTGAAAAGGCTTCAAGGATTTTAGCCATCGTCGCCTTCACAGAATAGGCTGTGTCATAGTGCTTTAACTCCACTATCCTCGAACTCAGGTGTAAAGTTTGAAACAAAGGAGGTTGTGAACGTTCATTGATTCAAGTGATCAAAGAATGTCTTACGCATACTTAGTCACCGTCTGTCGCGCCGCACAATCTTAGCTGAAGTGGGTTTAGGATAAGAAAAGGTAAGAGGCAATCAAGCAAGAACGGCGTCAGTCATAAAGTCTTTTTCTGTTGATCTGAGCAGTGTAGACTTCCTGTTCAGGGTCCACGTGACGACAGAAGCCAGTGGCTGAAGATTTTGGGTGGGATCAATGAGAACCGATCTCACTTCTATGAATGTATCCACATATAATCTTTATCTCAACCTCCATAATGAACTTCAGCGTTGGTTCAATCCACCTTGCTCTTTTTACGACCTTCAACCAATACTGACCACTTCCTTAGTTACTTCCCTATATTTAATCTGAGTCCCTTCAACTTTAATAACTTGGACCGCTTCGTATTACTCACAGATTCTGCGTTGATATTATGTCTCTCTTACGCATGAATAAAGTCAAAACGTTAGCAACATCAAAAATACTGCACCAATACATATTGCAACCTGCTTACTTACTGAGATCAGGTACTGGTTGTGTTCTCCAAAATCGGAAATCATTTTTAGTCTTTTTTTCCGCTGCGCTACCAGAAGAATTGCTGGTTCCCGAAACCAACATCACATTTGTGAGTTGCTTCAATAGTTTTTCATTAATTCCATTTGGGAACTGTGCAGATGATAACGATTTATCATCACTAGAATGAAGTGCTTTGGTATCACCAGATACGTCAGTAGTATTCAATTGGGCTGATTTCTTGTTTTTACTTTTCACTGGCTGCAAAAAAATATGAAAATCAACAAGTGATTGGTATAAATAAGTGATTAAGATATAAACCAGTATCAGAAGTAAGTAGATAATCCACCACAACAGTTAAGGTAAAACATTTTTCTACGGAGACTGTAAAATCAGTCGTGAACCAGTGCCTCGATGTGAAAGGTTGGCACAGCTTTCTTCGTTTCTGCTAAGCCACCCCAAATATCAGTTACTAAAATTCAGCCAACTGTACTGACGTCGTAAGCAGCCGACAACAGACCTCATTTATAGAATCAAAAGTCACATATCAGATGAGAATCTAACACAGTACATCAGTTTAAGTTATCACACTCTACAACTGAGCACAAACAGCAAATAAAATGACATTAAGATGAATAAAGAGGATATGAGATGAGTGACAACAAATCACAAAATGTGGGTGAAACCTTTAGAATTCCAGAGATGATGAGAAGTGAATACATTTGTACAAATGTGATTGGTGCTAAGTCGTGTCACTGATGAGGCCTCCAGGCATTGGTTCTTGATGTAACTCAATATGTAACATCCCGAAAGCTCCAGTAACACCTAGCACCTTACGAATATGGTTCAGACAACTGGGTGGGGACTTTATGGTTTAGTGCTTTCGTGGTCTCAATACCATTAGCTTTCCTCCTACTCCAGTTAACAACTGGCGTCAGCAAGCCAGTAAACATTGACATGAGATGTGGCATGACTGTACAAATTTCCAAGTTTTGACATACTACCGGCATCTCACAGTATAAAACATGAATGCATTCGAATAACTGTGACTGGGTATCAGTTACATCACCATGAGTCCGAAAATCATCGAGTGCAGTTGTCCTGTGTACACAAACGTAAATTCTACATTTTCCTACACGGCTCAAACCAATAGTCAAAACTCGTTCACCGAAAACCAACTTCGATTCTGGTCACCCAGGGTCAATCAACACTGTACGTCGGAGTAGACGACGACTAAACATGGCCATGACATAACCTAGACACCATATTCGTTGAATGACTATTACCACACAACCTGAATTATCTCTTCTATATAAGACTACATGTACAACCTCTAAACTCAACGCAATGTAATGCAGTTTCGCCATCAACCACTTCACCAGTTGCCTTTAAATACGACAACAGCAAAGACCGTTTCGGGAGCAACAATTTACATTTGGGTGGTGAGAAACTTATCCCAAAGATTCTCAAACCACCACTCAGAGTCGAAGAAACTATACATTTTGTCAGCGTCTTCACTTAACAGGACTAGGTCATCTGTGTACTATAGATCTACTAAAGATTCTCTTGTGATAAGACCAGTCTCTGTAAAATCAGAGGACGAGAGAGTGAGCCTCATAAGTAGGTCTATGACAAAGTGGAATAAGAATGGAGTGAACATCCTCCATGGACACCAATCAACGTAGATAATTCACCTTAATAACTCACCATAGGGTGTAACACGCCAAAAGGTGTTCATGTAAAAAGCCTTTAACAGAGTGATGTACTTATCCAGCACTTCTTTCAGTAAAACATAATGCCATAAGACCTCTCAATCGAAGAAGTCGAATGCTGCATTCACGTCGAAAAATACAAGCAATGACGGTAAGAGGGTCTGTGTTCTAAAACCTAGCGGAGGGTTAAGATCTAGTCGATACAACCATGGTCAGGTCTGAAGCCTATCTGGTTTGCTGTTCCTGAGTCCCACTCAGATACCTAATAACTACAGAAGGTAGAACCTTAGACACCATTTCCGTCAGACTGATTCTCCTGTGGTTATCCCAAGAGCATTTCTCCCTTTTCTTGGAGACTGGGACCAGTCAGAGGGTATCGTATCTGATTTCCCCCACGCTATCTAGCACTTTAGCTAACCAAACCAGTAATTCACGATCACCGTCCTTAAATACCTACGGAACTATTTTGTTCAGCCTTGCTGTCCTTCGTTGTCTCAGGTTATCTATAGCTACGATAGAAGCTGGTTGATGTAGTGGAATTTAGTGGAAATTACTAGTTACAGAGCAGTCCCCATGCAGCGTATCATCCACCTGTACGTGAAGCATGTAGATGTTTCATATATTGAGTTTTTACAATCACCTACTCGTCTTCCCAAACTAACAGTGTGGCTGAACAGAATGGTCAACTATTTTTTTATAATTTGACCAACAACGACATCCTTGAGACAGCTGTGAGGTAGACGCTATGGAGTTATGTGAAAGGTAACTTTTTATTCTGTGACAACCAACAGTCTACTTCAATTGCACTTAATCACTTGGCAATGCGTCCATGAGTACGGTGTGCTTTGCACAATCAAGGGGCAGAGTGCCTCCATCTGGAACAATTTTTGAAACTAGTCGAATAATTTTTACACGCCTCCAAACAAATTATGTTTCTGAATTTTACAGCCTTCAAGAGGTTGGTAAACATTTGAAGATCTCGTATACTATGACTAAGCATCCACATATGCAAATTATATTCATGCACGTTACTCACTGCCTGTCACAAAGCCTTATTTGTAAAACTTTGGGTACAGTGCAGACAATTTGGGTTATTTCGGCGCATTGTCCGCATTAAGCTCAAAGTCTTTCTACCGCTTTTTGCCAAAAATTTTCAAAGTCCGCCCAAAGTGTTTGCCGGCTGAGTACGTACGCAAACTCTGAAGATGACTACAGAAAGCAATGGTGCTGGCATCACAAACTGGGTAATTTAACAGATGAATGAATGAGTACTGAAACCTGTCAAAGGAAGATTAACGGGTCCACAGTCTACTACTGTGAAACTTAAATTCGGCATCTAATAAGTATATTCCTACAAACCACTTTTGTGTTCGTAGGTTCCCAGACTTCTTGGATTATTACAGTAAGTTGGGCTATCGTGAGCTATGGAAAAGTAATTCCTCGAGTATATCCAAGTAATACGAAACGTACATCCTCAGGCGTTGACTCAGTCATGTTTTCAGTAGTAACGCACTAATACAACGTCCGCGTGAATCTGTCCAATGTCCGGTATGCAGTGATAAGCGTATTTTGCCGGTTTGACTTGTGTTGCTCGTTTCAATCCATTTCTCTGTTGAAATTTGGCTTTTACCTGCGACTGATAGCTGCTACCTTGACGTGGTGGTCGGGCACGCATATCACAATGACCCAACGAGCTGTGCTGGTGGAACACATGTTCCCTCGAGGTCCTACCATACCAGAAAGGTCTGCTGGTAGTGGTTAGACGAAAAGCAGTCATCATTGTGGTGTAAATTGCTACACTATGATGGGGCTCTGAGGGCGAAGTCGTACTGCTGCTGGCTGGATGGGGTGTGACAGCAATAAGGTGTTTCCCTTGGATGACCAGCAGTGTCATACTGATGCTGTTTCTATATGGTAGGGGCTGGGTGAGTTGGAAAAGGTCGGTCCCAAAAATAACACATTCCACCGTGCGTCATGGTCTGCCAGGTCGGCGGTGTTGTTTCTTTTTGACCATCCGGCCCCAAAAATACAAAGTTCAAAATAAGCGTACGCAAAAGGCTACGCATGACAGGCCTCAAGTAGATGTCCGGCGGGCTTTGTGGTCACACAAATCTCTTTCAGGTACCTTAAGAATAAATAGCATTCCACGTTGTGGGCAGCTGGGAAGTGTCAACTGCCCTTACAACTCTGTCAGCACTCAGGTTTCCTCAGATTGCTATTAACCTCCTCCATCATTACCTTCTAATCTTCCTTCACGTCTCCCAATTAACGATACTACATCATCTTCAATTTCTCGTAGCTCTGCGTCCTTCGACAACGATCTGAGTCAACAAAACAGCATTCTTGGTCTCCTTAAGCCCCTCTTCGAACTACGTATTGGAACCTTAAACGCCTGCACCCTCCATCAAATTGGTCAACAGGCTTCGTTGGCAAAGACTCTAGCAACTCTGGCCATAGATGTGCTGTGTTTGTGAGACATGCATACAGAACTCAAGTGCGGTTATTCACCTGACTTCTCCTGGCCAATCTGATGAGCCTGCAAAATTCTTCCTTGGAGTTTCCAGCGATTTGGTAGCTAGCTCTCGCGGTCTTGCAACTGTAGGCATAACATTAAGTACTAGAGCAGAAAACTTAATACTATCCTGGATCCCAGTTGATCGTCTCCTCTACGCTACGCGGCTGAACGGAACAGTGAGAACTAAAAGGCGTAGTGAAACTTGCCTTTGTAATCTCTACCTAAGCACCCACTGACTGCGGTTCGGCTGAAGGGAAGGACGATTTCTATCGAAAACTGTCTAGCCTCCTCTCGAAAATCAAACGTTCGGACGTGGTGATTGTTTCAGATGATTTCAGCGCACAGGTGGGTAGGCTAATTGTGGCAGAAAGGCACCTAGGTGGCAGTTTTGGAGCCTTGGTCGAATGAACAGACAACGGTGATCACCTAGTTACACTACAGAACTATGGGTGGACATCCAACCTCCTGTCTTAATGGCTGAATGACCACTTTGTCAGAGTGAGGATGCTACAGTTAACAGATTCCAACTGCAGACGACTTACTATTGATCTTCGTTCATCTCCGTTCATGTTTGACTCCCAAAGAATTACCTTTAAGTTTGAGTTTTCGATCAAAACCTAAAAGAAGATTTGTTAAGATGAAGGAACTGTTACTAATGTGATATGTCATTACCATCTGCTCCCTTGTCTGCCTGTACTGTTCCTAGTGGGCATTTTTGCGACTCCATTCCGGTTTGTTTAGCAGTTACTCTTGTTTATTCGTGCCTTTTTCCTTGCAACTTCTTCGGGACAGCCATGTTCCTTATTGGATTACAATAATAGTAATTGACTTCAGAGGACCCAGGTGAATATCACGTCGCTGCACATTTTGTCAATAAATCGAGTATTAGTCTTAACAAACCAGGACTTAAAGTGCCATTTTTAATACGAGCTGGCAGTGAACAGATGCTCCGCTGCATCACTAAACTTAGCCTCGAATCTGTTTCCCGATGGGTGAGTGAGTAATATTTGTAGCCCTCAGTGAGCAGGGACCAGAAGTGTGCCTATGTTTATCTAACACCAATAACTTCTTCCAGTTCTCAAGTAGCTGGCTTGCACCCATCCTATTTCGGACTTTGTGTCATTTCTCCTGGAGGTCAAAGTTATTCTCTGACCCTGTTATTTCCCTGTAAATCTTCAGCTCATCAGTTGACGATGGTGAATTATATTTCACAGTTGCAGGTGAGGTGTTTACAAAGGAGGAGAAAGAGAGATTGGCTGGAAATGGCCCTCAAATTTCACGTGCTTGCCACCAAGGCAGATGGAACCCAACTGGTCCCGACTACGACGGTTTGCTAAGGTGCCCAAAACCAACTGACTAACCTTCCATGTACATTGGCGGGATGAAGCTGCTTGAATAAAATATCATGAAAATTATGTTGACGGCATCACAGTATTTCAGCAGCCTATTATGACCTATCCTACTCTTATCTACGGAGGGAGTCACTGTTCCAAATCAATAAAATTTGATGCTACGTGTCGTGCCGTGTAAATATCGTTAAGTAGAATTCGTTTACTTCCTGAATAATCAAGAAGCGAATAATTTAATGTTTTTTCATAATCTCTGCCGCTAAAAAAGTTTCCTGAACTGATCCACAGTTGTACATTATACTTTCGTTTCCACTGTCATATCTTAAGTTGGCTGTCACTCATCTCCCGTTAAAATGTCAACTAGCTTCGCATCACGAGCTACAAAATGTCTGCCAGTGTTGCACTGAGCACCCGCACACTTAAATTTCTGTTACGCGGATGTCGTCAGTTGTTGCAAAATATCCTATTTACAGCTTCTTTGTGTTCCTCTGATTTTAAAATGCCCATGTCATACACGGCTTGAGCATTCTGAATTCGAGTGTCCAGTGAGTTCAGGGCTGTTCATCTCCCCTGATGGAAGTTATGGTGGGATTCCTATGCTAGTTTGGCTGCTTCGGAATAAATTTAGTGAGACCGTAAAGCCCATCGTCACTATATACTTAGTGGATGCGTATGACGATTCATCTTCGGTATTCAACAAGCGCGTGCAGAGTATTTTACTCTAATTCACCCGGATTACTGCTCTATATCTGCCACAATTATCCTTAAACGTAGTGCGGTCGTTCGTGCCCTTGATAACTACCTGCTGGCTTCAGGTTGATCGTCGACGCCAAATAAGCTTACAGATGCCCGAGTACGGAGATATTAGAGGTTTTTTCGGATTGGCAACAACACAATCCGTTATGCATTCCTTACCGTCAGATCGCAGAGAGTTCATCGTGAGACACAGTCATTCAGCTGATGTTATCTTAGTAGCTGCTGAAATTTTGTGCAAGACACGTGAACTGGCAGTAGCGAAGATCCACAGAATTCTAACACAACTTTTAATGAAGACCCGTGGGGAGTTGAGATCAAGAGCTAAACTTATGGGCTGCATTATATCGTTGTTAAACGTTGCGCTGTCCTATAGAGGACACTAAAGGGCCACACTTAGGCAAAGATCTCGGTGCAATATCACGCTAAGCCACAAGATATATATTATGCTACTTCTCATAGTGGAAATGGTACAGTTTTTCAGAAAAGCATATGTATGAAGAGCGGTTCCTCCATATCAGTCTGACCTATTGCTATGAGTCAGGTTAAGCCCTCATGAATTAACTTCATCATTTATGCCTTTTGTGAGCCATGTTCCAAAAACAGCCACCATTTCAGGATGACTTTCAGTAACCACTAGCCTCATCTCAGATATTTCGGGGTTAATATCGGGGAAACGGCAACAGATACACAGGATGAGAATAGATTCACCCGGATCCGGGTAAATAAGCTGACCCAAACTATATGAAGCGCGGTACGTTCGAAAATGCGTCACATTTTAACCTGATTTTTATCGCTTATAGATAAATAAATAAATACCTTCATCCTCAAGTTATGAAGTTAGCATGAGAGAAGCCAGTTTACAGGCCTCATCAAATTGACAGTTGCAGAGAAACATAAAAGGTTTTAGCAGTTTTGAATGGTACAGATGGAGGACATTAAACTCTATCATGACACCAGGTGTCTAAATGTTACGAAAATGCAAGGAAAATATCGCTTTACAGTACATGCACATCATTCCGGGTTCGAGTCATTTCTGCTCACAATTCTTATTTCACATCAAACGGTGCCATATTTGGTGTCTGCGTTGTGAGTAGTCGACATGATTGACCCATCCACAAGACCAAGTGTTTCGTCAGATAAACGTCCATTTTAACAGCAATTCTTATGTTCGCAGATTTATTGACCAACAGTAACTTACTTCAATGATTTCAGGGATAAGTAAGTATCCACACAATCATTTAATCCAGGTGAATATCTAAGTTCAGGCGTTTCTCACTCTTCAAGTGTTACCTTCCACAGCAGTTCAGATTGGTAGTACTGAAAACATCTGTTGTATTGCAAGTAGTTAAAGGCTGGAAGCATCTTCGTTCAACAGTGGTGAATATTACGCGTGTGTACAACTTCATAGACTTCACACTAAAGTATGCAACATTAACAAGGAGATACAATGGCTGTTAATCGACTTCTGTGAGATGGATTGATACAAGACAAAGTGCTAGAGAAATCTGTTGCATGGCATCATTACGGATGTGTCTCCGTTAGGTAAAGTGATCTCTCAGGTTGGATTGTTTATCCAGATTTCCGCTGCATTTGTCACGGACCAGAAATCTGAGACCAGTTATTGTTTGGGGTTTCGTATGTGGTATTAATTAGGGCACTGGTAGGGAGGTGAGTTGGTTGTGAAGCTGTCCAAGAAACAGGAAAATCCGGGCGAGCCGGTTGCACACCTCTTACATCGGTTTCCAGTATTAGGTGCGAAGTAGGATTTCCAGTAAGTTGATACTTTTTGATCGAACTAATGCTTAGGACTTTCTCGTCAGGCTGATACTGAAAAAAGAAGAGGGAAGAAAGCGCAGGGGGAAGCTGGACAATGG